GAATTCTCAGAATTCGCAGGATTCTCAGTATTCTCGGAATTCTGGATTAAAAGATCGTCATACTGCGTCATCCACGTAACTTCATTATGATTGGTCAATTGCTCCGTTGACAATATTTAAATAATTAAACTAATTAAAATTATTGTAATTTAAAGATTAAAAAATTAAAATAATCAAAATAATATCATATTATCTAATTTATTATATATAAAAACTTAACAAATAAAAAATGTGATTTAATTATATTATTACTCTATTTTATAAAATATTTATTATTTGAATTCCTTTGATTAGTTAACTAAAGATTATTAATTTCAGATTAACCAAATCTTAAGATAATTGCAATTAAATTTTTAGCTAAAATTATAATTTAATTAATTTAAAAAATTTTAAAGCTCTAAAAAATAATTTACATAATTACACTTTAATTCATATAATTGTAAGTTTATTTAAATTATATTTAAATAAAAGTAAAATTAGATTTATTTTCTAATTTATCATTTGGCGCAATATATCTTGTGATTTTCACTTGAAGTTTTGCAATTACAAAAATTATATCAAAAAGAATTTGCAATAAATTTCCTGGATGCAAGAACTTTCGGGAATCAGAACTATAATAATAAGAGCAAATCAGAAGGATTTTTTTTTTCTGCAAAGTGACATTGCTAATATCCGGAATTTTGATTCAAATTCAGAAAAATTTTCTTGTAGACAAAATTTTGTATATATAATACATATGAGTGAAATAAATTATTTCGGAATTCTGATATTTAGAGAATTTCATAGTAATAGTATAGAAATTTTACCAGCAAAGAAATATCTTGATGCTGGGACTCGTATTAACTGCGTACTTCTTCTTTGTTTGTAACTTCTGCAAAAAAACCACTAAAATCATACATGTCATTTGATAATATTGTTGCTGCTGTTCAAAGGCTTAATAAATTAAGTGTTGATGAAAGGACAATTTATACGTACATTTTGCCAACAATACCGAATACTTACTAAATCTGTGCTTTTCTTTTCTGCTTATTATTGTCAAACTCACCCAAAAAAACACATTAGATCGAACCATTAGTGAGTCGTAACAAAATCAGTGAACACAATATGGTTTATTTTTTATAGCCTTATTTCATTTGTCAACCTAGTTTATTATACTTATGCAAGGAATCTCTTTCTTGTAGCAACAAGCAATCTTGTCTCCATTTTTATTGACAAGTCTAACCTCATCATTGAGGGTTCAAATTCCATTAGTCAACTTGAAAATGTGAATGTCTTTGATCGTAAGCAACTAAACTTCATGTTCTACTTGTCACAAAAGTTTTAAGTAGATGAAAATTGAGTGGTATTTTAATTGTCAACTCTATTCCGCTAAATGATAAATTATGGGACCGAGCAAGAGATCATGGGTGGGAAGTAGAGACTTACGCTTCAAACAAAGAGAAGAGATTTGCCTTAAAACTCATTTGCGGGTAAGTTATTGCTGAGGCCCAAATAGAAAATTGGAAAATCAAAACATGGTTCTGGTCTGGATCAGATGTGAAAAGTATTACAGTCAACTCTCTCCAAATGCACCCTATCTAAATGCAAACTCTTTATATTTTCTCTTTAAATGCATACTCTCATTCAATCCTAAGCATATAGAAATCATAAAGAAATTTTCTCTTTATATGCACACCCTCTTTAAATGAACATTTTTAAAATTTTCACTACGAGTCCCAAGGGGATACATTTAGAGAGAATTAAACTATATATTTATTTATTTATATGAGCACATTAATAATGAGTTGATCACTTGAAAACCCCGTTCTCCATATGAATGTCAAATGAACTTAGAAATATTTTGTCTTATGTATCTTTGAATAAGTACTATAGGATCTGATTTCACGAATAATAAGCATAATCTTGAGACCCATGGTAATATTATTAAGAGTTAAAAACAAAAACCTGATGGAATGCTTTTTTGCTTTGAGATTACTAGGTGGATCTCTTTATATTTTGAAAACAAAAGGCAGTTGGAAAATGCACAAGCTTTATTCCAGCATAAATATCCAGGTATGTGGCATCGGTTTGTCACAAGAATATCAAGAAATTCATTTTAGAATTTAGACAAGTAAAGGTATAAATATGCCATACCCATAACTTTGTATGCTAGTATCTGATAAAATTAATGTTATGCATCTCGATATCAATAAAATACAGAAATAGAATGACTTAAACTTATAGGGATGAAAATCAGATTCTGGGAATTTTTTTGCATTTTAGTTTTTTGATGTTTAGATTAAAAATCTTAATTTTAGTCAAATTTCTCGGAACCTGATCTTCCTAGAAATCTTCCCATATTACCAATATCGCCGATAACCGAACTAAGACAAATCTTAGAAAACAATCGCATCTTCATCAGACTTATTCTTCTTTGTGATTCTTGTATTTCTTGGATCCTTAGGAGCACGTGAGTTATCACGCGTCGAAATCGGAGATCTGAATATAAATGTTGCACAATTCAATTAATTTCCCATCCAATCAAATGATAATATATAAACGCGTAAATATCAACCATTAAATTAAATTCGAAATTTAGCTTTTCTAGCTTTATATATTTTTGGCAAATAAACTTTCTTGATTATTTTTTCGTAATTCTCAAGTCAAATAAATAATGGAAATTAACGAAGAAAGGTTAGGTTAAATTATTCATTAATTTTTTAGAACTTCAAAAAAAAAAGAAAAAAGTAATTTAACTTTTTTTTTTTTATTGCAGTAACGGAAAAGATAAGCTAAGAGATAAAATCATATACTTAAATCAACAATTGGATATTTACGGGTATCCGGCACCTTTAAATTTTCTCGATAATAACGAAGATAATTCCGTTAATAATGTTGTTGAATGTGTACTTTCATTATTACAAGACCTTCAAAGGGCTTCTGGAAGTCAAGAAGAATTAAATGATAAACATCGAAGGTTACAAAGTGATTATGATTTGACTTGTCTAAATAATGTAAGTAACGTATAAATTACCGATGCATCGTAGTATTACAAATTATTTATTAAAACTTATTCAAACATCATTTAGAAAGGATTAAAAAACAAAATCGAGATAAATGAGCGGGAAATCGATTTATTGAAATCAAAAATACTGTGAGGAATTTGATTTATTTTTCATTAAAGTATTTTAAATAATTTTAAATGATGATTGTAATTTTAATAGGAAGGTAGAAAATGAATTGAAATGTGAGTTGGAGAAACTTAGGCTGACCAAAGATGAACTAACAAAGACGAAATTAAATTTGCAATATACCAAGACGCAAGCGGTGGTAAGTTAAATTTTTATAGTACGAATCACTATTATTTATTTTATTTTTCTTTATTTATTTATTTTTTTTGATTATAATCTGATTTTTTGAATACAATTTAATAGCATGAGGTTAAAAAACGGGAATTGGAATATACCAGATTTAAAGAAAAGATGCAAAAGTTGCTTAACGATAGTTATAGGAAGGCAAATATAGGATTACAAATCGTAAATCCTATTTCAAAACCTTTAAAACGGCGTTTGAGCTCATCTAATTATAATGACCATGTGTTATCAAGAAAACATAATAAATCAGTGGTTCAAGACGAAGAAGAAGAAGAAAGTCCTGTAAGTCTTTTCAAATTTTTAATTTTTATTCACATAAAAACTTACTTTATAGTTCACTAAGAATTTTATCACGTGTTTTAGGATGCCGATATGTTCAAGCAAATCGTTGCTGACGCAGAGGCCCGTGAAAAAGAATTATTGCAAGAGAATTCCAAGTTGAGAAAATTACTCTTTGACGTTCAAAATCACGTCAGCACGTTCGTAGAGTCGCATGCACAGCTAGGCGATGAATATGAAACTTCGATAGATCCAGAGTTGGCCAATTTGCAAGTATGGTTGATCGTAACGAAGTTGTGAATAATCTCTTATTTATATTCAAAATCAATATATTGTTAATTTTGATTATAAAGGCACCAGATTCATATAATCCAAAAGCTGCTAGATTCCGACTCCCTTTCGAAATGTTTGCGAACAATATTGAAGAAGAAATCAAGGAATTACTTTTGGCACTACAATGTGAATGGGAAAATCGCCCGGCTAACATGGTAGCAGAATTTGAAACCAAGGTAGAAGAAAATCGCCAACTACAGTTAGAAATTGACTCTCTAAGAAATCAACTCGGTAAAGAATGATTAATGAATCTATCCTTTTAAGGTTATAAAATGTTAACAATTTGGTTTGCTTTAATAATATTAGCTGAGGCTGCTACATTTGTGGAGGAAGCTCAGATCATGATTAATAATTTCATTGAGAGTGGTTTTCAAGAAGGTCAAGGAGAATTCAAACTAAACGTTTCAGGGTACGTTATTCTTGTGAATATAATTTTTTAAGTATAAAATTTATAAATTGGTTTTCTTATTATTAAAATTTTTTTTTTTTTTTGAAAATATTATATAATTCAACAGGAATGAAATTACTTTACCCGAATATGACGAGCTTGATGAAAATTTACAATTGAAACGTAATCAGCTTAATCAAGAAAGGAAAACATTTACCGAATCGCTTATCCGATTGGGCAAAGATAGGGAACAGATATTGGTACATATTTTTTTTCATCTTTTCTTTCCCTAAGATTAATCCTTTTCATTTATTAACATATGCACATTTAACAGAAAGAACGAATTGAATTTGAACAAGAAAAAAGAGCGTGGAAAACCTTACATCCAACACCGTATGATGCTATTTATGTTTTTTTTTTTACTTATTTAATTAGAATTAATTTTAATTTTATACATTTAAAGTGGATCAAGAAGGATAAGAAGAGGAAGCTTTTACTTTAATAGGACATTAATGGCTGAAGAAACCCCGACACCATCTCATAATTATGTGATGACAGAATCTAGTCCGCTTACACCGTTCTTGGAAAGGTATAAGGCCGATATCGAATTATTCAATAGAAAATAAACCATGTAAAAATAAACTTTTAATCTTAATAACTCAAAGAAAAGTATTTTCTTTTTGTGTACTATGTTTCCCAAAGAAATTAATTTTATTAATTCTTTTGAAATGGATAATCAGGCCCAGATACAGTGGTGTGCAAAAAAAATGAACTTTTTTAAAATCACGATAGGTTCACAAGTATTGCGTCAATTAAAATGTTT